TGGCCTCTGCCTACCGAGTTCTGGGATTAAAGGTGTGTGCCACCATGCCCGGCTTTAGGGATTTCTGTTTTTAAATATTTCTTAAAAGCTGGGCAAGTTGGTACATGTGGATCTCTGGGAGTTCCCAGCACTCAGAAAGCAAAGACAAGCCCAAGTGGATCTCTGGGGGCTGGAGGCCAGCCTGGTCTCCATAGTGAGTTACAGGCAATTGAGAGACACTGTCTCAAAAAATTGTGTGTATGTGTGTTTGCCTGTGTGAGTATATAAGTGCACCACATGCTCGCAATGGCCGCGGAGGTCGGAAGGGCAGCAAACTTTCTTAAACTAGAGTTATTGGCAGTTGTGAGCTGCCCCGTGGGTTGCTGGGAACCAAACCCAGGTTCTCTACAAGAACAGCTGGTGCTCTTAACCACAAAACCAACTCTAGCCCGGTGATTTCTTCTTGATTGCCGTGGATGCTATGTAATTAAGTAGGGGCGATAGTTTCATATCATAGTGAATATACTAAAATCTGCTGAACTTTGTAGACCTCGAAGGTGGGAATTTATGGTATGGGAAATTCCCAGGAATCCACAAGGATGACCCCAGTTAAGACCCTAAGCAATTGTGGAGAGGGTGCCTGAACTGGCCTTGCCCTGTAGTCAGATTGATGATTATCTTAAATGTCACTATAGAATCTTCGTCCAGCAACTGATGGAAGCAGATGCAGAGATCCACAGTGGAACACTGGGCTGAGCTCCCACAGTCCAGTCAAAGAGATGGAGGAGCGAGAATATGAGCAAAGGGGTCAAGACCATATTGTGGGATATTTTACTCTTTTGGCTTTCTGGACTTTTGGGGGGTTCCATCACCCAGCTCCCAAATAAATCACACACAGAGGTTTATTCTTAGCTATGAATGCTCAGCTTTACCTTGGTTTGTTTCTCGCCAGTTTTTCTTAAATTATTCCCAACTACCTGTTACCTCTGGACTTTTATCTTTCTCTATTTCTGTACACCTTTCTTCTTTCTCCATGGCTTGTTGTGTAGCTGGGTGGCTGGCCCCGGTGTCCTCCTCTACTTGTTTTTTTTTTTTTTGCTCTTTCTCTTTGTTCTCTGTTGTCCTATTCATCCTCTCTGCCTGCCAGCCCTGCCTATTCTTGCTCCTGGCTATTGGCCCTTTATCTCTACTAGATCATCGGGTGTTTTAGACAGGCACCGTAACACAGCTTCACAACATTAAACAAATGCAGCATAAACAAAATTCACACACCTGAAAATATTGTTCCCCAACAGACCATGATGGGGATACCCACTGAAAAAGCTTACAGAAGCTAAGGGGAACCCACTGACTGGCCTGACAGTGGGAGGGGGGTTGCATAGGACCAAACTAGGCCCTTGGAATGTGGATAACAGTTGTATGACTGGGGCAGACTGTGGGGCCACTGGCAGTGAGGACAGAGAAAAGTTTTTACGGCCCAATAAACCTCTCCGCCGATGAAATAATCCAACCAGACCACATCAAACCGAATTAGAAAAAGCCCAGGTTTAATGGATGCCCGTGCTCCCGGGTGGCCTTCCAGGCCCTCAGAGAGGAGATGGGGAAGGAAGACCAGAAAACCATGGAGAGGGGAAAGAGACGCGGAGTTTGTTATGGGGGGGGGGGGTAGCATAAATATCCTGTGGGAGTGGTCTTGAGCATCTCTGGGGAGGGATCACCATTTGGCAGGCTTTCTTGGAGGTGGAGTCTGGACTAAGACAACTCCCAGAGGAGTGGGCCTGGGTTGGAACTTTCCACCCAAACATTCCAGACTCTTTGGATGCAGAGATGCCAGGGGCTGGGGTGGAGCCTTAACCTAAACAACCAGGATTTATCCCTACTGCATGTACTGTCTTTTTAGAACCTGTTCTCTTTGGAGGAATACCCTGCTCAAGGATGAGAGAACCAAGTTTGAACTTGTAATTAAAGATACTCTTTGATTTTACGTCATATCTGGTCTTTTGGTGGTTTTGGGGGGGTCCGGATTCTGGGCACAACACAGCCTCTGTCACTATGAACCCCTCTCCCACCCTTGATGAACAAGTTTATCTCAGCTTCCATACAACCACTTCCTCCGTTCCTTTTCCTCCATTCCCTCTTCTCCTTCCTCCATTCCTTCTTTCTTCCTTCCCCCTCTGGAGTGATATTTTATTTGTGTTTTAATAAATAAAGCTTGCCTGAAGATCAGAGTGCAGAGCTAAGCCACTAGAGGTCGGGGAGTGGTGGCACACACCTTTAATCCCAGGACTCAAGGCCACCCAGGGCTACAGATTGAATCTATCTAAAAAGAGAAATAGAACTCAACACAAAAGTGATCCCAGCACACGGGAGTCACAGGTCTTTAATCCCAGCACTAGGCAGGTGGAGACAGGAGCGATATGGCTGGGTGGAGAGAGGAATATAAGGCAGGAGGAGACAGAAGCTCAGTGCAGTCTGAGGTTGGCGGGGAGCATTGCAGCCTAAGTCATGCTGAGGATAGAATCGCCGCTTTATTTGTCTGAGCCTTGGTAGAGGTAAGAACTCTCTATTCGCTTGGCTTCTTTGCTTTTCTGATCTTCAGCTTCAGCTTGAACCCCAATATTTGTCTCTGGTTTTATTATTCATGCCACACTCCTCCCTCCCCTCCTCTTCTTCCTTCTTTCTCCCCTCCTTCTTCCCACCTCCCCTTCCTATTCTCTTCCTCCCCCTTTTTGCTTTTCTTCACCCGCCACCTTCTCCATTTCTACTTTCTCTGTTCTCTGTCCCTCCCTCCCTCCTCTCTCTCCCTCTCTCTCTCTCTCTCTCTCTCTCTCTCTCTCTCTCTCTCTCTCTCTCTCTCTCTCTCTCTCTCTCTCCACTCAATTTAACATTTCTCTAAAAATCCTCACAGGTCCCCACTTTGCCCAGGAACATCACCTAGCGCCTACTCATGCCTGCCTGGCTTCCCTCCCTTCACGCTGCCCTTCACGCTGCCCTGCATTTTTCCCTCCTCCCTGGTCTCAGGCACCCAGGCACAGCACAAAACGTCCTGCTGATCCTCCCCGCCCTGTTTATCCTCTCATTTGCATAAGCGCATCCTAAGAACAGCCTAAGAACAGCCGTGGTGAGACTGCTCTCTGGGCCCCTTAGCGGTTAGAGCAGGTAGGTGCACTCCACAGCGTGCACTCCACAGCGCAGCTCCGTGCTGAGTTTAAGGGGCATTGCTTCTCTGGATGGCTTGTGACAAAAGCACTGTTTACTTAGTTTGACCTCACCCCTTAAGGTTCCAAGATTTTAAGGACACATCAAAAGCTCTAGCATGGAGAAAGGACCACATTAAGTGACCAAATCCTTTCCGTATGATTGCTTAGCAAATGTCCTAATGGTTGAGAGCTGATTCCAAGAAACCCTTCAAAGTGACCTTATCAAGTGGGTTCTGGGGATTTTGAGAGTGCAGGGGTGAAGAATCACCTCACAGAGCTGCGTGGGGGATTTCCCAGGAGGCTTTGCTCAATTGAGTCACCGTTTGACCCGTGGTCTTCTGGAGCGGCAGAACCTCGCTGAGCTTCTCACAGAGCAGAAGGTTGGTTCTTCGCTGCCCTGAGATCACAAGGTTTGTTAACTTGGGGCTGTGTGTGTGTGGCGGGGAGCTAAAGAAGAAAGAATGGACTGTGTTCTCACTGCAGATTTCTAGACTTTTCTTCCCTTCTAATTTATAACTTCTATGTCCACTATGTAAAGACCAAGAAAAATGAAGTTGGTCCCCCCAACACACATCTTTCCTTTCCTCCTCCTCCTCCTCCTCCTCCTCCTCCTCCTCCTCCTCCTCCTCCTCTTCTTCTTCTTCATTATTCTTATTCTTATTCTTCCTCCTCTTCCTCCTCCTCCTCCTTCTTCTTTTAAGACAGGATCTCATTTAGCTGGGTCTAGTCTCAGACTCTGACCCTGAATTTCTGATTCTCTTGATTCTCTTGCATCCACCTTCTGGGTGCTGGGATTAGATATGAACCACTGTGCTGTCTGATTGAGTGCTGGGGATGGAGCCCAGGGCTTCACGCATGCCAGACGCACTCTCCAGCTGAGCTTCATCCCTAGCCCCAGGATTTTTTTAATTGCCATTTTAATCTTTTTTTTTTTCTACAAACTTCAAATTTCAGAACTGGCCAGTGCAGGTCTGTGCTTGAGAAGCTCTCAGCCGGTGACTTTCAGCAGAGGTCTTCCGCAGTCAGGGCAATGAAATGCCCAGCCACCGAGGGCAGAGCAATAACCGCCGGGCTCCCTCTCCCTGAGGGGGCACTGGATGGCATCACCCTCATGACTTTGCCTCAGAGACAGCAGGGGCGCCAATGCCAGGAACCTGAAAGTCCCTAATGTTCCTGCTCTCATTTCAGCCTGAGTTTTGGTGGGCGTGCACCAAGTCAGTGGCCATTGTACAACTCTCTGTAGATTTACTGTGTTTCCATAACATTCCGGGCTTTTTTAAAAAAATATTTTTTCTTAAATTTTCGATTGTGTGTATATGTTTGTATGTGGTATCTACACTTGGATGCAGATGGTAACAGGCATAGGATCCCCTGGAGCTGGAGTTATAGACAGTGGCGAGCCACCCAACATGGGTGTTGGGAACCGAACCTGGGTCCTCTACAAGTGCAGTGTGTGCTCTCAAGCATTGACTGATCCCTCCAGCCCCAATATTCCTTAAAACCCTGCAGAACTGTCTAAGTATTGCTGGCAATGCAGAGAGTTGTGGAAGGACCACCCACCCTGCTTATATTTTGCGGAATGACATTTGGGAATGAACCCCTCTCTTAAAGACAGGCTCAGGTAGTCCAGGCTGGCCTTGAACTCTCGGCCCTCCTGCCTCTGCCTCTTGAGTACTGGGGTTGCGGGCATGGACCTCCACCATGGTTTCTGAAGTACGGATGCCTCTTGAGGAGGCACTCTACCAAGTGAGCCACACCACCAGCCAGAGAGCAGCTTGTTTGACTGAAACTCTTGGAATCTCCTTTGCTAGTGTCATATGTGTGCAAGAGGTTGTCATGGGGAACAGCTGTTACAACATGGTGGTGACTGTGCTGTTGGTGGTGGGCACTGAAAGGACAAGAGCCCTGCAGGATTCCTGTGCCAAGTGTGAGGCGGGTAAGTACCAGACCGACAGGTGCGTTTTCTGACCGTTGAAAACTCAGTTCGGTTAGCCCGTTCAGAAGACCGCTCACTCCCTTGCAAAGGCTTTTTGGGCCGTGGGGATCTGGCTCACTCAGTCTCAGCTCCTCAACCTTGCCACCTGAGTACAGTCAGAGAGGCTGTCTCAGGGTGCTTGGAAGGGCCCAGGACAGGCTCAGAACAGCACACGGTGCATATACTCTGCAGCAAGGAACAAGTAGGTGGCAGCATCGCTCTTCTGGGCCCCTCCTGTTACACTTATCTCAGGAGATCAACAGACTTAGGGTTTTCGTCTCTTGATTTCTTTGTTGCAGCATTTATACACTGTTACTCCTAGTTGCACGGTTATGCCAGGGGGCACCCTGCAAATGTATAGTCTTAAAATGCCAATCAGTAAATGTGCCATTGCCAAGATGCCTAGACATCTGCTCTGATGTCCTCATGATGCCTCGGTGACAGTCTAGTGTTGTCAGACACGGACACCTGTGCTGCCTTCCAGGTACCTTCTGCGAGAAAGACAATCCTGTGTGCACCAGCTGTCCCCCAAGCACATACTCCAGCACGGGCGGACAGCCGCACTGCAACATCTGCAAAGTGTGTGTAGGTGAGTCTGTCTGTCTGTGTCGAAACAGAATCTTTCTGCTGCCTATGCTGGACCAGACCTTGTGATCTTCAGTCTCCCAGGACTGGAGGTCAGCTTTACACTGAGGCGTCTCCATCTTTAGGAAATCTGGGGCGAGACCAGCTTTGGTCCCCCTTTACTAACTGGTCTCTACTCAAAATCTTGAGCCTCACAGGGGCTGACTCCCCTGTCCACAGCAGGTGTAGCCAAAGGATTTCATGGAATAGCTACTGTCGCTGCCTCGAGGACCAGCCTCCAGCAGCTCAGGGACTGAGGGGGATCCCACAAATTCAGCTGACTAATCTATCTGAGGGAGTAAACTTAACTCTTTGGGGCCTGTGAGGGGGGCTAAACTTAACTCTCTGGGGCTGGCGCAAAAGGGACCCCCCCCTACACACACCCACACACCCACCCACACACACACACCCCTTTAGGGTCTCTCCATCATCTTCTCTCTATGTTCTTTCTTTTCTTAGCTCTCTCTACATGTATTCCTCTGTCTCTCGTGATATTTTTCTTCTAACTAATTTTATTTTTTTCCTACAGCTTATATACCTCAGCAAAATCTTTCAAGCAGTATAGCCATTAGAATGAGCTTACACACTATTTTAAAGAAAATTATTACAGTGAATACAAGTGAAAACCAGCATGTTTTCTACATCTCTTACACAATCAAATATTTTACACATTACAGGTGAAAAGCAAGTTGTACCCAGAACCCACATACATTCATGTCCAAGCAACTTGTTATTAACAGAGTGTAAACGAGCAAGGCGTCTTTCTCAGTCAGCTCTCTTGCTGCCAGGCTGCATTTTTCAGTTACAGAGAAAGGACAAGTCATTTTATTATTTACCTCAAAGGTAATCTCATAAGAAATCTTAGGAGAATCACAAATCTAAGTTTTTATGTATGGAAAAGAATCAGCCAGCTCTCTTTTAAACCCTCAGGGTGCACACCCACTCATCAACAGGTGTTTATACTCGGAAGCGGAGGGCAGAAATGGGCATAAAGGGTTCCCCATCAGCTTTGACCACCAACCCATCTAGCAGGTCAGCCAGCGACAGCCAGGCTACCATTGTTCTTGGTCTCCGCCCTCAGTGCGCCCCTCACTCGGCTATTAAGAGCAAACTTTTTAAAATTGTTTTCCAAGATTTTTTTATTTGCCTTAAAGCTATTAACAAAGCCATCTTAACCTACCCTTAAGTCATTACTTAAAGCTGTGTTCTAGCTACGGTGCACACTGAAACCGTGACCACATCTCTCAACATTAGGATGAGAAGAACATGAGCTGACTTAGCTCCTGGGACACAACTGTTCTTCTTAATCATTGACATAAGCCAAGTCCATATGATGCGTCAGAAGAAACTAGCTGTGTGGTACTTCCCTGTTCTTATTTCTGTCTTCTGCAGCCCCTGCTTTCTCAGGAGCAGAGGTAACACTGTGTCTTGCATTTGCCTATTTTAGCTTTCCCACTAAGGAAAATCACAATCCCTTACTATATATACTAAAGACCCCCCAGGCATCAACATCCTATTTAAACGAACACTACTATTGTGTAAAAGTCACTGCTTTAAGTAGCACAGCTTAGGAGGAAGTCATCTTCACAATAACCCACGGTAAAAATCCCCAGGAGAATGGAATATTTCCATGAGATAATCACACTACATTACAGGCAGCGGGGAATCTGCCCATTCACACCACGCTAGATATCAGAGGAAAATGACAGCGGCAGACATGGAAAGACAGCAGTAACAACAGCCATCCTGGGGCCGACACTCTCAGGGCCTTGGCGGTCCGAGATCCACCCAACCCAACCGCGCCTAGCACGCAGGTGGGCCAATCCCCTGAAGTCAGTCGCCACCTGCTGTTCCTCTGACGTGGCCACTAGCAAGTCATCATTTTTTTTTTTGACTGATTTTTTAAATAATAGAGGAAATACTCACTTGACACGAAAGGCTTTTATTGTTTTTGTTTTGTTTTGAGACTGGGTCTCATCATGTAGCCCTGGATGACCTGGAACTCACTATATAGGCCAAGCTGGCCTGGAACTCAGACCTTCTGGCCTCTACCTCTGGAGTGCTGAGATTAAAGGTGTAGATTTTTTTTTTTCTCTAAAGTAGGGTCTCACGTAGCTTAGGCTGGCTTTGAATGTCTCTTCTTCCCGCCCAAGTGCTGAGATTACAGGCATGTGCCACCACATAGTGTATGAGGAGCTGGGGATGGGACCCAGGACTTGGGCGTGCTAGGCAAGCACTGAGCTCCCTCCCCAGCCCAAGAAAATCTTTTAGTGAGCAAAGTGGAAAATATCTTAATGGGGATTGAAAATAAAACAGTATGAGCCAGGCACTGGGGCACACAATCCCAGCACTGGAGACCGAGGCAGGAAGATTTTTATTTGAAGGGTAGACTGGTATCCAAAATGAGACCCTATTCCACAAAGACAGTAAATAGGGGAACACAACATAATCATTAACATTATAAGCAGAGCAATGGATATATATATATATATATATATATACACACACACACATACACACACATATACACATGCACACATATGTATGCATATACACATATATACATGAACACACACATACATATATGTGTGTGTGTATATATATATATTTCAACTGCAATACAAATTTGTTTCCAAGGGTAACACAGAGCCGGGGCTTTGCAGGTTATTTCAGGCTCAAGAAGCCTTGCTCCCCGACCAGCAATGCAGAGTGCGAATGCATCGAGGGATTCCACTGCTTGCGGCCAGAGTGTGCCATGTGTGAAAAGGACTGCAAGCCAGGCCAAGAGCTGACAGAGCAGGGTAGGTTTGCCCTTTCTCCGCCCAAGTTTGTGAAGGACAGAGATGCAGTGTGTGGTGCTGACGGTGTTGTAATTACAGTCCACTATGTAGTCTGTGTTTGCACAAATGGAAATGATTTTGTTAATCACCCGAGCCGTGTATTCTTGCACATTTTGGTTACAGACAATATTGCTCATATCATTAGACTGAAACTGAGCAGTCTTGGGGTTTCAATTCAAGAGTCACTAAGCAGGGGCTGGAGAGACGGCTTAGTTAAGGGGGAATACAGCTCTTGCCGAGGACTCGAGTTCAGTTTCTAGTACCCACTTCAGGCTGCCCACAATGGCCTGTAACTCCAGTTCTGGGGGGAGAGGGGGTCTGACGCCCTCTTCTGGACTTGATGGGCATCTGCACTCACATGCACACATGCATACACAGATGTGTGCACACATACATGCGGATAACAGATTAAAGCGTTAAAATCATCGTGATGCAATTTGCACAGGTTAGCCTATGACACCATGGCATCTGCTCATCAGGGGAACATCGTAAAATGGTAAGATGCCTCCTACTGATTCTCAGCTTTCCTTCAAGGTTGTAAAAACTGTGGCTTCGGGACATTTAACGATCAGAATGGGGGTGGCACCTGTCGACCGTGGACCAAGTACGTATATATTCTCACGTCTCTCTCAATGTAAAGAACCTGAGAAAAACTGAAAAATAAAGGACATTGCTGCTGGCTGGCGTGCAGACCTGCAGTGCCTCACCCCTAGGGCACAGGGGACTCTGTGAGGTCACAGGGTCTTGTGTGAGAGTCATGCGGGAGTTTCTCACATCATCTGCCCATTGCTTGAGAGCCCAAGCCCTACTGTATCATGTGGTTACTTCCTGGGATAACTGTGCTCCTCTGGACCCAAATTAATCATCTGAACTCTTCTTCTTGACCCATCTAAGCTGCTCTCTAGGTGGAAAGTCTGTGCTTAAGAACGGAACCACAGAGAAAGATGTGATCTGTGGCCCCACGTTGGTCAGCTTCTCTCCAGGTACCTCCCCCACCGTGACTGCCCCGGTGAGAAAATCAGGTGGTTGTTTTATTGCTATTAAATACAAGTTAATGGTCGGGGTGGCACACAACTGGAATCATAATCACACCACTACAGAGGCTGAGGTGGGAGGCCCGCAAGGTCCAGGCTAGCCTGGGCTACACAGCAAGACTCTCTGAAAAGGTTTATCCAAACAAACGCCTGATGTCTGTTCAAACTATATGTGAATGCCCTCAGCGCTGCTGACTCTCCCAGCTCTGCCCACAGCAGGCAGCTCTGGGGTGCTCTCCTCTTCGTGCCCTGTCTTGTTTTCCTGGATGTTGTCATCAGTAATGGTGACTCCTCATCCCAAACAGAAAACATAGCTTTACAAAGGCCAAGTCCGGGGAAGTAAAGGGCCTCATACCTTACGCTCAGTAGTCCAGTCTACTTAGTTGCTGGGAAAATCATTAAATTTGGGCTCATTTTAAAATGTCACTTAGATTTAGGACTTGGGGTATCACTCAGTTGGTAGAGCCCTTGTTTTACATGCTAGAAAGGCCCTGGATTCCATACCCAGGATGGCATGGATTTGGGCATGGTGCTGCAATCCCCACCCTGTGGTGGAGGCAGGAGGATCAGGAGTTCCAGGTTACGCTCAGGTACAAATGGAGTTTGAGGCTAGCCTGGGATCCATGAGACTCTGTCTCGGGAACAAAAGAAAGACAGTAAAGTCATCTAAGCTTGTTAAGTTACAGGTTTGGGGTGCCCAGGGTGCTGCCTCACTGGAGCCCATGTGTTTGCCCTCACCGAACACTCCAGCATTTCTCTCCTTGCTGCAGAAAGAGGGAGATCCTTGCAAATCCTTACCTGGTTGCTGGCACTGACATCGGCCATGCTGCTGTTTCTACTCTGCATCACTCTGGGGCCCATTGCGGCCAAATGGAGCAGCAAGAAATTCCCCTACTTGTTCAAGCAACGTAAGGCCAACACATCATGGGAGGCGGGGAGGCAGGACGCGTGTCTGGGAGGCAGGGCAACTCTGCAGACAGGGTTCTCTCCCATTTCAGAGAGCGAACTCAGGTCCTTAGATTTGTACGGCAAGTGCCTTTGCTCATCTAGCCATCTTGCAGGCTTGGATTTTTTTTTTTTAAGTTAGAAGCCTCTGATTGGCTAACATAATGGTTGTAAAGCCAGGACAAGCTTGTTTCCACAAGGGGACTGACAATGTCTGGAGGCAGTGGGGTAGTTGTGACTTGTGCTGGGAGGTATGTTTGGTTGTGACTTGGAGTAGCCTCCCCATCCTAGCCACAAGAATTGGGCTCTGCATTTCATTTGGGAAGAGATGGAGATGGAACAGGACCCAGAGTGTAGGGAAGACAACGGACACATAGGGCACGATCCCTGATAACTGTGCACATATAATGTGGGCACCCAGTCAGCCCACGCCCATGACACAGTGGAACCAGAAAAGAACATTGCCTCAGAAGTTGGGGAGACAGCTTGGTTGGTAAAATGTTTGCTTTGCAAGTGCAAAGAAACATTGATACCCAGATCCATGTAAAAAAGCAGTGGTATGTGCTTGTAAAATCCCAATGAGGAACAGGTGGTGACAGGCGGTGACAGGCAGTGACAGGCAGAGACAGGCAGTGACAGGAAGAGACAGGCAGAGACAGGCAGTGACAGGCAGAGACAGGCGGTGACGGGCAGTAAGTGATGGGCAGTGACAGGCAGAGACAGGCAGTGACAGGAAGAGACAGGCAGAGACAGGCAGATCCCTTGCTAACAAGCCATGCTCATCTATTGGAAAACTCTAGGCCTGTGAGAGACCCTGTCTCACACAAAAACAAGCAAGCAAGCAAAGGTGGACCTCTGACTTGTATACACAGCGCCTTAAAGCACATCAGCCCACCCAGTGTCGCTTCTCGAGTTGGTAATAGCCTTGGTCTGAGCTCTGGTCCATACTGGAGGAAGTGGGGAGAATTGGATGATGCTGAATGGGTGTAAGGTGGATTATTTCAGAAATAGTTTCAAAGGGCTGGGCAGTGGTGGTGCATGCCTTTAATCTCAGCACTCAGGAGTCAGGGGCAGGCAGATCTCTATAAATCTGAGGCCAACCTGGTCTACAGAGTGCATTCTAGGCTGGTCAGGGCTACATATTGAGAACTTGTCTTAAAATAAGAAAGAAAGAAAGAAAGAAAGAAAGAAAGAAAGAGGAGGAGAAAAAAGGGAAGGAAGGAAGGAAGGAAGGAAGGAAGGAAGGAAGGAAGGAAGGGGATTTACCCACAGGTTGAGTTCCAGTCCCCTGTGATCAAAATCCAGTCTTCTCCATTTCTTATAAAATAGCAATGAGCAATGCATGGTTCTGTTCTGTGGGTGTCTGTATGTATAGTGCACATGTGTATGTGTAGACATCAAGGCTGGGGGCAGGCATCTTCCTGGCTTGCCCTCCACTTGCTCCTCTCAGTTGAACCCAGAGCTCATGGATGTGTTCAGCCAGCTTGCCCCGGGGACCCTCTCTCTGCCTTCTGGGGTCACAACAATTATTGCCCTGCCTGGCCTTTATGTGGTACTGGGAATCTGAATCCTGCTCTTCTTGCTCTCATGGCGAGCATTAGTTACCTCAGGGTGAGCACTCACTACCTCAGGGTGAGCATTTGCTACCTCAGGGTGAGCATTTGCTACCTCAGGGTGAGCATTTGCTACCTCAGGGTGAGCACTGGCAACCTCAGGGTGAACACTCGCTACCTCATGGTGAGCACTGGCTACCTCAGGGTGAGCACTGGCTACCTCAGGGTGAACATTCGCTACCTCAGGGGGAGCACTGGCTACCTCAGGGTGAACATTCGCTACCTCAGGGGGAGCACTGGCTATTTCAGGATGAGCACTCGCTACCTCAGGGTGAGCACTCGCTACCTCAGGGTGAGCACTGCTTACCAAACCATTTCCCAAGCTTTGTTTTTGTTTTTCAAACTAGGGGGAAAAGACGTGGGAATGAGTAACTTAAGTCCTGTCCAAGTAGGTAGGTCAAACTGTTTTCCAAAAGTGATGGGGGCCACATTGAACGCCTCTTCAACAGGGTGAGGGCGAGAGCGCTCCATTCGCCCCACTTCCGTGTGAATGCTGGGCGCAGCAGCACTATTTTTATCTGGTGGGTGGGGAAGAGTGGCTCACTGTGGTTTTGATTTGCATTTCCTTGACGAGGTCTGAGGTTAGGTTTCACTTTGATTGGCTGTTTGGATTTCTTACTCTGAGAAGTCTTCCCACGGAGCCACCTGCTCTTTATCAATGAAGGGCACCCTGTCCCCTACTGCAGGCACGTTTGCTTTCTGTAGCCTTTCCCTCTCCATTCCAGGCTTCTGGCTCTGGAGGAGACCTCTAAGCCGCCTAGAATCGTATTTCCTCCTAGAGAGGCAACAAGGTTTCTGTGAAGATGTTTTCAAAGGTATTGATCAGTAATGAGGGTCTTGTAGTCATTAAAAAAGAACATTTTCCTTTTCCTATAATTACACATTAATAGAAAGTCACAAACAAGGAGCAGAATAGTCCACGGCCGTTCACAAGGCTCTAACATCACAGTGAGGCCGGGACGACGACGCACAGAACACACACACAGCTGCATGTCACTTTATCAGGTTTGTAGATTCATTTACCAAGCAACACAACTGAAATACCAAACTTGAAAAGTGTGTGTGAGAAGCCTGCCTGGAGCCCCAGAGATAGAAACAGGAGGCTCTCAAGGTCAAGGCCAGAGGTTACACACCTCAACAGCAAACAAGCAAACAAAACAACCCCAGACTATTCACAACCAAGATCCAGCCCTGCTCGTCCTCCTCACAGCTCTGCTCACCCTCCTCACTCAGCCCTGCTCGCCCTCTTCACTCAGCCCTGCTCGCCCTCCTCACAGCCCTGCTCGCCTTCCTCACTCAGCCCTGCTCGCCCTCTTCACTCAACCCTGCTCGCCCTCCTCACAGCCCTGCTCGCCCTCCTCACAGCCCTGCTCGCCTTCCTCACAGCCCTGCTCGCCCTCCTCACTCAGCCCTGCTCGCCCTCCTCACTCAGCCCTGCTCGCCCTCCTCACTCAGCCCTGCTCGCCCTCCTCACTCAGCCCTGCTCGCCCTCCTCACTCAGCCCTGCTCGCCCACCTCACTCAGCCCTGCTTGCCCTCCTCACTCAGCCCTGCTCGCCCTCCTCACTCAGCCCTGCTCGCCCTCCTCACTCAGCCCTGTTCGCTCTCCTCACAGCCCTGCTCGCCCTCCTCACAGCCCTGCTCGCCCTCCTCACAGCCCTGCTCACCCCTCTCAGTTCTTCCCTTTCTCTGGCGGTCACTCATCTATTTCTGATTTTTGACTCCTGGCTGTTTTTAAAATGTATTTACTACGTACTTTATTTATGTCACGTGTGTTTGCTTGCATGAGTTGATGTGTGTCACATGCATGCAGGAACACCCGGAGGCCAGATCCCCTAGAACTGGACTTATAGGTAGTTATGCATCGCCATGTGGGTGCTTAGAATTGAACATGAGTCCTTTGCAAGAGCAACAAGTACTCATACCTACTGAGACATCTGTTTTTTAACTCTTTTTTTTTTCTTTTGGTTTTTCTGTATAACACAGTCTAACCAAGGTGACAGGCTCCCTTACCTGTGGGGCCTAGGACTGGCCCTGGCCTTTGCTGTAACGATCCCTGATTGTCCAGAAGCTCCCCATCTTGCTAGGCTGGTCTGTCCCTGGTCTGGTAGCTGGAGTGGGCGGGGTTTCCCCATCTCTGTGCTGGCCTCCCCAGGCTCCCCACTCTTCTAGCTCCTCTCTGGGAACAGGAGGCAGAAAGAAAGCCCAGACCACCTACTGCCACGCTGCGTCTTAGGCCCTGAGATTCTTGGCCATCCTGCCCTCTCCTCTCCTCCCAGCCATCTTGGGCTTGTTTCGTAGGTTATATGTATGTATGGAGTTTTGGATGGTACAGAGCAGTAAATACAGGGAAGTATGGTCTCTTCTACCTGAAGCAAATCACTACTGTTTTGGTTAATCTTGGATACAATATTTCTCAGTCTTGACTTAACTTCCTTTCCTTCCCTTGCTTCCCTTTAAAAATAAGATTTAGAACACAGAAGACATGGCCTTGGAACAGGGCCTTCGCTTGTTAAGTTTAAAGGAAGTAGAGATGGAAGACTGCTAGCTGTAAGGCCAGATGGGTCCCAGCTGTGTGTAAGAGCAGCTGTGCTGCTGTAAGGGCAGATGGGTCCCGGCTGTGTGTAAGAGCAGCTGTGCTGCTGTAAGGGCAGATGGGTCCCGGCTGTGTGTAAGAGCAGCTGTGCTGCTGTAAGGGCAGATGGGTCCCGGCTGTGTGTAAGAGCAGCTGTGCTGCTGTAAGGGCAGATGGGTCCTGGCTGTGTGTAAGAGCAGCTGTGCTGCTGTAAGGGCAGATGGGCCCCGGCTGTGTGTAAGAGCAGCTGTGCTGCTGTAAGGGCAGATGGGTCCCGGCTGTGTGTAAGAGCAGCTGTGCTGCTACACAGAGCAATTCTGGGCTTTCACAGACATAGAGGTGGGACACAGCCACAGGATCACACCGAAAGGAAATGTCAGTCTGAAACAACGTGTGAGAATAAAATAGGGGTGCTGATAGCTGGTGGTGGCTCAGGCCTTTCACCCCAGCACTGGGGAGGTGGTGGTGGTGCACACCTTTAATCTCAGCACTGGGTGGGGGGCAGAGGCAGGTGGATCTCTGAGTTCGAGGCCAGTCTGGTCTACAAAGCAAGTTCCAGGACAGCCAGCACTGCTACAGGACACTGTGTAACAAAATAAAAAAAGGAAAAACAGTGTGGGAGGAGTGGGCAGGGGTCTGCTGCATTGAATCCACAGTTGTGCCTGCAGTGTAAGCCATGCTCTATGCTGCTGTGAGTTTGGCTCAAGCTTTGGTTTGTTGTTGTTAAGCCAGTGTATAAAATAGAGAAAATGGTTTTTAAGATGAAGGAAAGGTGGGAAGAAAGAAGGAAGGAAGAAGGAAGGAAGGACAAGGTTTTCTGTGCCTCCATAATAGGTTTCTCCACTGATGCAGTAAGTCAGATCAAGTCGAATTGGAAAAGTATAACAGGTTTATTTGAGCAAAGCAACTGCCGGGTGGGTTCTCCAGTCCCAGAGATGGAGGTCAGAGAAGCCACACACCAGGCTAAAGCAGGGAGATTATATAGCTCTCAGGCGAAGGGCTATGACATGTCTGCCACAAGGTGGGTTTGTGCCCAAGCATGGTCAAAAGCTTATCACTTTAGGCGGGGACTCGGGCTGCTGGCAACTTCAGGGGAGGAGCTACCATAGCCGCCAAGAATGTGGACCTGGAGCCGGGCGATGGTGGCGCACGCCTTTAATCCCAGCACTCGGGAGGCAGAGGCAGGTGGATCTCTGTGAGTTTGAGACCAGCCTGGTCTACAAGAGCTAGTTCCAGGACAGGCTCCAAAGCCACAGAGAAACCCTGTCTCGAAAAAGCAAAAAAAAAAAAAAAAAAAAAAAAAAGAATGTGGACCTGGGCTTTTTGGTGCCTTTTCTTTGTTCAGAGATTCCAGAATGGGCAGGGTTTGGAGAGACAGGAATGGGGCTTCTCAGACCACGCAGGAAGGAGCTGCAGGAGCGAGCTGGAGGCTCCAACCAAAGAGGAAGGAAGGAAAGAAGGAAATCCCAACATGCTGGGGATTACATATTTTAACACCAGTACTTGGGAGACTGACCTAGGGAGATTACCACATATCCAAGGCCAGCTTGATCTATAGGGAATCCCAGTTGCGAGACCCTGTCTGCAAACAAAACACAACATAAGAAAACAAAATACTGTAAGATAAAATAATCAGTCTCCAGAAAGCTCAGATAAGCTGTTGGCTCCCTGGTGGGTAAGTTGAGAAGGTTTGTGGATGGAGCAGAACTGTTGTCTGAGACAGCGAACGGGAAGCCTCTTACATTGTTTCTGCTGTTTCCTAGCACTTAAGATGGCAGTTCGCACGGCTCAAGAGGAAGATGCTTGTAGCTGCCGATTTCCAGAGGAAGAAGAAGGAGGAGGAGGCTATGAGCTATGAGGTGACATCTCAGAAGGCGTGGGGATCCTCGGAAGGCAAGGAGCAGCACAAGGACCCCCCACTGTCCTCTTCTCAAACACCATCCCAGACAATACGTAGGCGTGAACCCCATCCAAACCTCTTCTGATGATAATGTATTGGTTTTTACCATTTAAAACATTTTTATCTTTAAGCTTTATGTGTATGAGTGTCTTGCCTGCGTGTTATGTGTGTGTGCATGCAAGCACACACACCATGTGGATTCCTGATGCCAGCAAAGGCCAGAAGAGAGGTTGCTGAATCCTTGGGAATTGGAGCTAAGGATGGTTGTGAACCACCTCGTGGGTGCTGGGAACCAAATCTGGGTTCTTTGCAAGGGCAAGCTGTCTTAACCACTGCGCCATCTCCAGCCCTGCCCTTGACATTTTTAGTAGGACTATGCAAAGAAAAGGAATGAAAGACCAATTTCTAGGTCTCCTTAACTATATATGGCTGGGCGTGGTGGTGCACACCTTTAATCCCAGCACTAGGGAGGCAGAGGAGAGTGGATCTCTGTGAGTTCAAGGCCTTGGTTTACATAGTGAGTTCCAGGACATGACAGCCAGAGCTATATAGAGAAACCTTATCTTGAAAGATAAACAACAAAAAACTAACTCCCCAAAAGAACCCCAAGATAAATAAATAAATCCATATATCTAGATATATATGGATATATAGATATATATAATTTATCTAAAGAAAAAGACACTTTCAATTGGATCACATGGACCAATGGTCCAGCTAAAATCATGGAAAAATCAATGTAGGTGTGTATGTGTGCGTGTGTGTATGTGTGCGTGTGTGTATGTGTGCGTGTGTGTATGTGTGCGTGTGTGTGTGTGCGTGTGTGTATGTGTGCGTGTGTGTATGTGTGCGTGTGTGTATGTGTGCGTGTGTGTATGTGTGCGTGTGTGTGGATCTGTGTGGCATGTGTAAATATGACACGTGCCATAAGATGCAGTATTTTTCCCCCACCAAATTCCCCACTTTCTCACTTACTACAACACCTCCCTCCACTGTCTGGTGAGGGGGAGGCCCCGTGTCCCCATCTGGAAAAGGCCTGTCAGAGTTTAAGGGGGCTCTTCAGAGGAGTTCAAACGTCTGCCCGTGTCTGTCCCTCCACACACTTCTGCCTGTCCCTCTGTGTCAGGCTCATCAACAAACAGGCCTTGCAGGGAAGGCACAAAGCACTGTGAGGAGGGACACAGCTGTGACCTCACTGGAGCGAGGCCTCCCAATGCCCCCTACACACACACATTGCCATGCTCAAACATGGCTGCTGCTTCTTTTCTATGGCTCCTGTTCAGCTCAAGAGCTAAAAATGGTTTTCAATCTTATTTATTTTTGAGACCAGATCTCACTGAGTAGCCCTGGCTAGATTGGAACTCACTATGTAGATCAGGCTAGCCTGGAGCTCATAGAAATCCACCTGCCTCTGCCTCCTGAGTGCTGGGACTAAAACTGCATCAGTGTACCCAGCTAGCCTTTCAATTTTTTTAAAACTATAAACTGATTGGCCCATTAGCTCAGGCTTCTTATTAACTCTTACAACTTATATTAGCCCATTATTCTTATCTGTGTTAGCCACACTAGTCTTTCAATTTTTAAAAGCCACCTAAATATATAAACATTGGGGATCTTGCAAAATTTGAGCCTCCTCTCTCTCGCCTTGATCAGTCAGGATGGGCCAGGTTATGCAGTAATAACAAATGACCCCCACAGATCCCAATGGAGTCCAGCAAGGTGGAGGTAGATTTCCTTTGGAATGTGTGTAGTGGTGTAAGCCGGAGGTCAACCTCAAGATTCTGTTCCTTAGATCTCTTACTGAGCTAGGACTTGGCCTGATGGCCCAGGAGCCCCAGGGTTCTCCCAGGGCTGGAATTACAAGCAAGTGTGACCATACTTGACTTTTTCACATGTGTTCTGAGAACTGAACTCAGGTCCTTGTGCTCGGACAGCAAGCACTTAGGTGGCCAAGCATCTCCCTCGTCCCCCAGACTCTTCTCTTACTGTGATTGCAGGCCCATTCCAGCTGTGGCTCTGTGTCTGCTATGAGGTCATGCTTTGAATGCTTGGCTCCTAGCTGGTGGCTGCAGAATCTTTAGGAGGTGAGCCTGGATGATGGGAGACTTAGAGCAGCCCCTTGAGAGTTCTACATACCCTTGTCCCAGCCCGCTTTCTCTGCTTCCTGATCCACTCAGCATGAAGGGTCTTTCTATGTCTGCTCAGACTGTTCTGTCTTGACAACACCATAAACAATGTCTGTGTCCTCTGTGAGCTGTCTCTGGGACCTGGGTGAGGGAGCAGCTTCTACTTAAAATGTTGGACATCTATGGCAAAGGGTGACTTGTCACTTCAGAACATGTATGACTGGTTCATTAGGTGCTAAGCTTTGCAGCTGCACACGTAACTGAGCCAGGCAAAAAGTATAATAACTAGGTGAGCATAGTGGCACATGCTTTTCTGAGCGCGGGTCTCATTCATGCAGCTGCCTTCTTGCCACCATCCAGCTGCTTTAGTGACTGGCATCCTCCCTGCCCTTAGCTTCTATTAGAGCCCCTGATTTTGTCGGTTTGGTGGTGCAGATGGCATTTCTTTCTTGACAGATGAGTGTCCTGTCACATAGTCATATACTGTTCGATCCCTTTGAGAAGGAAGATTTAGCTGGGAATGCTAGTGCCGCCTTTATTCCAGGCTACACGGAGAGACTTTGTCTCAAAAAAATTAAATTAAATAAAAAGATATATTTATTTTTTATTTACATATATGCCTGTGTTATGTGCATCACATGCATGTCAGTGCCCACAAAGACCAGAAGAGGAGGCTGAATCCCCTGGGAACTAGAGCTACAGGAGGTTGTGAGCTGCCCCAGAAGGATGCTGGGTACAGAACCCCTGTCTTATGCAAGAGCAGCCAGTGTTCTTAACCTTGAGCCATCTTTTTTTTTTAAAAAAAGATTTTATTTATTTATTATGTATACAACATTCTGCCTCCATGTATGCCCACATGCCAGAAGAGGACACCAGATCTCATTACAGACGGTTGTGAGCCACCATGTGGTTGCTGGGAATTGAACTCAGGACCTCTGGAAGAGCAGCCAGTGCTCTTAACCACTGAGCCATCTCTCCAGCCCCCTTTAGCCATCTTTTCTGCCCTTCCTCCTCCTCCTCCTTCTTCCTTTTCTTTTCCTTCTCCTTCCTCTTCCTCCTCTTTTTTTGTTTTGTTTTGTTTTCCGAGGCAGGGTTTCTCTGTAGGTTTGGAGCCTGTCGCCCTGGAACTTGCACAGCTTTCCCTTCCACCAATCAGAGGCTTTACACAAAGACCAATCACAGACCTCCTGTTGCACCAGTCACTAGCTCTGTAGAACCTTCAGGGTTGACAGCACTCCCTCAGGTCTGCGTGCATGAAATAGCTGGGAAATAGCTGTGGGGAAAGCTGGGCCTCCTGTTTACAGAAGCTAATCTTAGGATGTGTCTTCCAGTCTTCCAAGGCCAACGCAGGGCCTGTGGGGCAGCCACACCTGGAGAGTGAGTCTGAACTCAGCTGCAGGGGTCCTTACAGCTGGGGTAAGGGTTCCTCAGAGTGGGAGGGGAGGATTTGAACACCTGGGCTGTCTTAGAGGCAGTCTGGTTGTCTGCCAAATGTTTTCTTGACTGGTGGTTTCCCGTTAGAGGCAGCCAGGCAGAAGGGAACTGACAGCCCAGCTCAATGGCTGAGTGGTTTGTTTCACACAGTTCAAGTTACTTCAAGAAAAAGCACTTTGTAGGCGACACCAACATTCTGGAACTTGCTTACCGCACTGTCAAATGCTCTTAGGGAGAGCAGGGTCCTCCACTTATGGATCTCAGTTTTGTTAGGATGAAGATTTATTGTGTTGTTTTACTATGTGTAAAATGTATGTGTCCGTGTCTGTGTGCAGGTATGTGCCTGTGGGTGCAGTTGCTCTCAGAGGCCTGAAGGGGGCATCAGATCACCTGGGGTGGAGTTACAGGTGGTTGTGATTCACCCGGATCCAGATGCTCTGTAGGATCTGTATGAACTTAACCACCGAGACGTCTCCACCCCCCTTTAGAATTCTGGAAATTTAGAAAAATTTCTAAGGCTTTTGCTTTGCTGTTGCTCTTGAATGGTGTGTTTTGTTGTTGGAGGCAGAGGTTGTGCCCAGCAACCTCTCCGACAGCCTTTCTTATCACTTCTGATAGGAGAAACATTCTTTTCCTTGTTGGCAGCCAATTTGTCTACAATGACGGTGGTTTCTTCCTTTTCTAGTTCATTATTCCTCACTCTTGACGGAAGTGCTAGGACTTGTTTCAGTAGGACAGTCTTTTCTGCTCTGACAGAGACAAGGGAACGTTCCTTGAGCAAGCTAGGACACTCCCCTCCCATTCTTGGTTTGTGCAGAGAATTTTTTCTCCTTCATCTTTGTCTTCTTTTTCTCTTTTTAGGGGGAGGGGTATTTAGGAAATAGGAGACCACTTAGCCCAGGCTAGCCTTAAACTTGGTAAGTAGTAAAATAGGATGTTGATATCTTGGTCATCCTGCCTCAGTTTCCCATGGGCTGGAATTACCAAATGCGTGCCTCCATTTCTGTTTGTTCGTTTATTTGATTGAGATAGGCTACATATCCACGCAGCCCTGGCTGGCCTCAAACTCACAGAGATCTATCTGCCTCTGCCTCCCGAGTACTGGAATTAAAGGTGTGTGCCACCACTGCCCAGCAGTTCTTTTTTTTCTTAACAAATTTCATTGTTTTGTTACACAGATTGTCAGTTTTTTACCAGGCTGGAACTGCCAGGATCAAGCATCTTCTTGCCTTAGCTTTCTGAGTAGCTGGGACAACAGATAAATCACCTGCCTGGAAACCCTGTCAATTCTAAAGGTACACCTCATGCCTTTGGGCACTTGGTGCCTTGGTCTGTGTGTGCCACTGTCCACATGTGACCTCTCCAGTGTGGGGCATCCGGGTAACTGAGTTCGACTCTCATTTGTTCCTGACTAGGAACACAGAAAACACACAGCCTGTGCTTTCGAATGGGGGCTGTGTTAGCTGCCTTCCCATCCCAGAGACAGAGCCCCTCAGAGCTGCC